ATACTCAAGAAAATAAACTTTCCCTGATCCCCGCATAAAGCTGAAAAGAGATTATGAAATTCTTGATCAATAATGGGAACCAAAATCCCATTGACCAACTTTCCCCCTCTCTCCAAATTCGAAAAAAGAACATCCCCTTAGGCTATATTTGGTTTGAAGGAAAAGATAGAAAAAGAAAGAAAAACATAAAGAAATCTATACAAGATTTGTAAAAGTATCCCTACATTTCCCCTCCTTTTCCTATTTTTTCCTTCAAACTCAACTCTGAGTCTTGACTTGGGCAAATTGAATAAGGGATTATGAAACCACACTGCATGATAGGACGGTCTCACTCATTAGAAAAAATGGTGGAAGAATGTATATAGCAAGAAAATAGAAACTTAGGAGGTGACAATGTGACATTTCATAGAAGTTAAGAGCGCATAATAGTAAATGACCCACATCTTCTTGTATTGCTCATCATCGCGACACCACTAGGTGAGATTTTCACGACCATTTGAGAATCCATTCTAATGCTTCCTTTATTCTATCCATTTTATTATACCATTAGGCTGTGCCTGATTGCAATGCAAATAAATTTGTGCTGATGCAAAATTATAACAGCGCAAATGATTTGAGTGTAAATTCTTACCTATTTTTGTTTTAAATTTTAGCTTATTTTGTTTGATTGCAATATAAATGGAGTAAATTAAAACATGAAGCAAAATAAAGTAAAACCCAAAATAAAATTAGACGAAAATTTGCATTTTTTCATTTGCACTTCCATGCATTTATACTACTGCAAATAAAATTGCACTGCAACCAAACACAGCCTTAGCATCATCCATACTTTTTTTTTTTGCAATAGTTTGGAGCCCTACAATTATCACCGCTAGTAGGAACATGTAAGTTTCAATATTCTTCATCTTTCTTTTTCCTATTCTCTGTTGCTTCATCTTCATTATCTTTCCCATTACTTTCTATGTTTTTTAAGATATTTCGATCCCTAAGGCTGTGTTTTGTTTGAAGGAAAAAGTAGGGAAATGAAAGAAAATGTAGGAAACATTTACAAACCTTGTATAGGTTTCCCTATGCCCTTCATTTCCCTACCTTTTCCTTCAAACCAAACAGAGCCTAAAAGATAGATCCGCCCCTTGGAATAGGTGCATCCTCTCTCCCCATTTTACCACCGTTGTTATTTTTTTATATTACCAAAATATTATGTGTATGTACTCAGTTGAACATATATCTTGCCATTAGATCTCCATTGTTCCCATTGATAATTTTTTTATGTGACTAAAATAGTATTTCTATGCTCCTTTATTTGAACATGTATCTTGCCATTGGATCTCTATTGCTCCTACTTAATTTATTTATGTGACCAATATAGTATATGTAGACCTGTTGATGGGCCAGCCCAGCCAGGCTCGTTCTTAGTTGAACTGTTTATGGGCCAGCCCGGCTAGGCTCGTTCTTAGTTGAACTTTGACATAATTTTAGAATCACAAGCTCGGGCTCGGGCTTTCTCTAAAAATCCCTGCCCAAGCCCGAGCCCGACTTGATAATATATTAAATAATAAAAAAACATATTTTATTTAATCATATATATACAATATTTTTCTTTGTTACTCTTCTCTTTTTTCAGGTAATAGTGAGATTTTTTATTATTTTTGAGTTTTGAGGATTTTAAATATAAATAACACTTTTTTATTAAACAAAAAAATCATTTTCAAATTTTTGGTTGAGCTCAGGCTCATGACCTAGGCCTGATGGAAACAAAGTCCGACCCTAATCCAACCCGTGAGCAGGTCTAAGTATATCTATACTCCTCTTTTTTGAGCATGTATCTTGCTACAGGTTCACCATTGTTCCCACTTCCCATTGTTGAATTTTTTATGTGGCCGAACGAGTATATCTTTAGTGCTATTTTAACATGTATATTGTCATTGGATCTCCATTCTTCACATCGTTGAATTTTTTTAATGTGACTGAAATATTATATCTTTGTTGCTAATTTGAACATGCAATTTCCCATTAGAGCTTCATTATTCCCATTAGTTGCTCATTTGAGCATGTTACTTACCATTGGATCTCCCTTGTAGTTGTGATTTAAATTATCTAATTCCCATTTGAACATATTGACCATATGTGTTTTGATGATAACAAACTTATTGAGAATATTAATATTCTATAAGACTAATATGCAACTATATATGAAAACAATGATGAACTGAGACAAACAAGCAACTATATCAAATGATGAACCAAACTCTCTCCAAGCATGAAACTATGGTACCATGAATAAGAAGACATAAAGTTCTAGAATCCTACAATTGTTTTATCTTTTAGTACTTGATGTAATCAATTGCAATATGCACTAGTATAGACTTAACTAAGACCTACCTCGGTTTTACCAAAACCTTAGAGATCAATGACCCACTTTTGTTTTCTAAAGTTAGACATAATCAACAATTGATTGTCCATAAGGCAGTAGTTGACTGCTTTTGACAAGTCTGATGTCACATTGGCTCCAACTAGTAGTCAATTAATGAAATGGCAATATTCAAGTAAGTCTAACAGTCCAGAAAGAACATGATGCATTAACTAGTCGACTACCGGAGAGAAAATACTCTTTCCTACGAGTAGTAGGCAGTATTTGAGCACGATAGTGGACTACTTACTTCTAACAGGATTGAAGCAATCAACTACTTTATGGTGATAGTTGACTATTTCATAAAGAAAAAGGAAATTTATGCTCATTTGAAGGCTTAATGACTCTTTCCTCTTCTGGTAAGATTTTAACATTTTTAGAAATATGTTCTATACATTTCTATGAATACTTTAAACCCCTCCCACTGGCTCTATAATCGTCACAAGATCTCTAAGTTCGATTCATGTGATATATGCATGAATTTGAGATGAAAATTTTTAAGTGCATTGAGCTAGAAAGTATAAAGTTAAAAGAGAAAAAAAGAAAGAAAGAGAGAAAGTAGTGTAAAGAGATTCTAAGCTAAAAAGAATTTATCCTTAGGCTCAGTTTGGAAAGAGTACAAATACAAATATGTACAGTACAAATATATACAAAATAATATAAAATACATGAGTTTGCACTCTACATATTTGTTTTTGTATTTGTACTCCTTCCAAATTGAGCCTTACGTTGTGTTTGATTGTAATGCAAATAAATTTGCACTAATGCAAAACTATAGCAGTACAAACGATTTGAGTGTAAATTCTGACCTATTTTTGTTTCAAATTTTAGCTTATTTTGTTTGATTGTTGTACAAATGAAGTAAATTAAGACATGAAGCAAAATAAAGTAAAACTCAAAACAAAATTAAATGAGAATTTGCATTTTTTTTTTCATTTGTACTCCCATGCATCCAATGTTGTCGAATTTTCACTGACCCAAATGGTCGGACCGTTCAGCCCGGAAACCGTCCAAGCAATCAGTTCCATTTCACCCTTAACCCGTTCCTGGACCAAAAACCACTGACTTGGTCAAAGAACCACTAACCTAGGCAGTCGAACCGTCGACCAAACAACGGTTCACGGTTTAATAAAGTTGCAAGGAGATCAAAGAGGGGAGAAACTGACAAGAACAATCTGAGATCTAAGATCACTAGATCCCAAAACCCAAATTCAATAAAGAAGAAGAGGATGGTTGATGGTACATGTTGAAGAGAAATTAGATCTCAGATCTGATCTATGTTTCTATTGTTGTCGCCATCATCGTCACCGGTGAACGTCGAATCCTCCTCCTCTTCCTTCTTCTTCCCTCCTTCTTTCTTCCCTTCCTTTCCTTTTTTTTTTTTTTTTTGCTTTCTCTTCTTCTTTTCTTTCTTTTTGCTCAGCCAACAACCAGCCCCTCTTTTCTCATATAAGACTAAAAGCCTAAGAATAGGTAATAATATTTTCCCTAATAATCAAACCGTCTTAACTATTTGACCCAAACGATCAAACCATTGACCCAGAAACCAGTGGCCACAACAATTCTATTTTTGGATCGGTTTTCAAAACCTTGCATGCATTTGTACTAGTACAAATAAAATTGCACTACAACCAAACGCAACTTTAGGAGAAAAACCTTGAAAAGCCATTTGTTCTTTTTTTATTCTCTCCATGAATCATTAATTTGTTCTAACATTTTTTCATTATTTATATATTTTATAATATATGTTATTTATATTGCACTTTTGTAATTTTTATATTATTTATTCTTTTATAAAAATATGTATATATATTGATGAAAATAATTGAAAAAAATACTTATATTTTTTTCTTTATTTAAATAGTTATATTTTTTTCCTTTTAATAATTTATTAATTTTTAAAATATTAAATTGGATCAGATTAGTTCAGATATCCGCCCTCTTAATCAAATTTGAATTCAAATTAGTATTTATGAGATCCCAGATACAATATTTTGGATCGGATTCGAATATCATCCTATCCATTTACAATAGCATAGCCCAAAATGCTCATTTGATCCGCAAACTAACCACACCATCAATAGTAATTCTACCGGCCAGACCAGTATTACCCATATAAAAACGGAGTTTTCATCAACCGCACATTAGGAACATCAAGATGGCCAACAATGTGTTGTGGTCAACAGATCTGAAGTCAGAAACGTAGAGGATTGGAAAGGATTAGGCCATACCTGTGGGGTCAGCTTACGCATAGGACGCTGGACACGGTGGAATACTTGTGGGGTAGGTTAGGCAATGGACACCTGGAATCCAGAAGATTGGTGGTTATTTCCTGTTGAGGGATACATGGGATCTAGTGCCAACGAACAACTATCTTGGCTACATACCAAACACGTCTGTGTTCCGTACACATGAGCGAACATCATTTATACAGGTACATGCACGAGAATACTGATGTGTCAAATTTTTATTGGTCAAGCACCCAGATTCGCACACATGTGCTCGCACTAGATCCTAACTCGCCTCGCGAGGAGCACTATATAATTGTTTGGCGCCCATTCTCATTTTGATTCCCCACCGGTCGGTGGAAAGAAGAGAGGGACAGAGGGTGAAGGAAGAGTGGAAGAGACTAGAGAGGGTGGAGAAAGCGACACTGAGTAGCAGAGAGACAACATTTCAATAGATTTCAACCGTTTGCTTTTCTAGGGTTTCCGTCGACTTCTTTCAGCTCTATCCGAGGGTACTGATCTGAAATCTGCGACAGAGAAGGGTCGAAATTTGAATCTTCTCCTGGACTTTTAACCATCTTCGAAGGTGAGATCCTCGTAATTGCTAGAACCTCTCCTACTGTTTCTAGTATTTCAAGGGTTCCTCGTAAATTTTGTTCGATTTCTTGATGGAAACTCTGCTATGAGAGTATTTTTCCTCTCTTTCTACGATTTGTGAACCACTCGCAGCTGCTAACTGTAATCTCTTGAAAATTTTCAAATTAGGGATTGCATTCATATTCCCGGAGAGGAATTTATTCGGAATGCTTTAGTGTGTTCTTTTCTAATTTTCCTTGATCTCCTCGTAGAATTTAGACTGTTTCTGAAAATTTAGAGCTTTTTCTGAAAGTTTGGACAGGACATGACAAAAAGGATATTCTGCGAGAATTTGTACGGATTTTGTCGCAGTTATCCTAATTTCTGGCATTTTATTGAGCTTTTCTTAATGTTTTCTGTGGCGCCTATCTGAAGATCTTGGTTTTTGTGGCTGTTCTTCGAAATGCAAAAGGTATTGTTGACCTGTAAGCCTCTCTTCTCAAACAGAGTTTCCAAATCTTCATCATAATTTTATTCTCTTATGATTTTTATACCTTTTCTAACCCTCACCCCTTCCTTAATGTGCTTTTACTAAGACAACGCAGTGCTGGATAATCTAGCTCCGAGAACATTTCTTATTTATTTGACTCCACACTTTTGCAGTGAATATATGCTAACCTCTTATCTTCTTCCGTGATTGAATCAATCAAAAGTTTTCTCTCCCGAAGACGATATTGCCTGTAATTTTTAATCCAAGCAAGGGAACAATTTCAAAAGCTTTTATTTTATTTTATTTTATTTTTCTTTCTTGAGGAGTTCCTTCCTTGTCAGTCCTCAGACCTACTACACAAAAGTGGAAGTGGAAACACCAGGGATATCTTCACGGAAAATTTCTTCTTGAACGAAATTGCTCCGTGTTTGGATTTCGGAATTCTAATTCTTCATTTTGTGACGTGTTCTCTCTTAGATCTTTCTAAAGCCCCAATTCCGTGGAATAGAGGATTAAAATGAGGTGCAACGCATGCTGGAGAGAATTGGAAGGGCGCGCCATTACGACCACTTGTGGCCATCTCTTATGTATCCATTCTGATATAATTAAATTGGATGCTGATTTTAGTTATGCACTGCATTTCTTCTTTCCCTGTTTGGAGGAGTTTTTATAGATTTCAGATTGTTTTCTTTAACAAGAGCAAAAGGTACGGAAGATGCTAGCAAGATCCTAAGTAGTGATGGAGCATGCCCCATTTGTGATCAAGTGCTGTCTAAAAGGTATTTTGTTTCTAACCTTGATGTTTGCATGGTTTCGACTTCAGACATGGTATGTTTGAATTTCGTAATCCTTGCCTAATCAAAACATGACATGGTATAATTTCAATTTACATGTTTTCTAGGATAGTTGCTAAAACAGTGGTTCTCTGACTTTAAATAGTACAAAGATCTCAAAACTAGAGTCCATTCTTCCAGAAACCACTTTGTGCAGTTCTATCATCTATGATGAATAAAAAGACATAACAGAAACGCATATGTAAGATGCATATGAAGCATAATCGTTCAAGTTAAATATTACTGAAAATTGGCATTCATTAACTAGGGGATTCTTGAGAATATAAGGTTGATTGGCCAAAGGCCAACTGCTCACAAGATCATATGATTCTTTTACTGTTAGCGCTTCAGCTTACATGAACTACAATAAACTTTTAATTACTTTTTCTCATATACAACCTAAGATTTGATTGCCACTTAACTTATCCGTTCTGGTATTCTAATCATCAGCCTTATGAAACCTGTGGATATCAATCCCAATGATGAATGGATAAATGTAAGAAAGCAATCTTCCAACTACACTGAACTTTGTGCTTTTACTATTATTTTGTATCTGATTTTCACTACATTTTGTCATTTTCTGATGCAGATGGCTATGGCTGGAATATCTCCACAAATATGTATCCTTTTTTTACTTGTCTGAATCATCTCCCCTATTTGGAAAGTTTAGGATCTTGGAATTCTTTTCCCGTTGTTGTGGGGAGGAGGGAGGGAGACCATACTTAAATATCTGAAAAAAAAAATTAAACTGTAGTAGAACATTCAGATAAGTAGGAGGTTGTCTGAGTCGGTCAAAGAACATATTGGATTGTTGGGCCATGCATCTTCCTTAACACAAACCAGTGATGAGAAGTGCATACCGAAGTGTTACGTTCTTTATGGGACAAAAGGAGCTGGAGATGCAATACAAGATGAGCAAAATAGTAGCTCAGTGCCGGCAAAAATGTGAGGCAATGCAAGAAAAGTTCACTGAAAAACTGGAGCAAGTGCACACTGCATATCAGAAAATGGCTAAAAGATGCCAGATGATGGAACAAGAGATTGAAAGCTTAACCAAGGATAAGCAAGAACTCCAAGAGAAATTTTCAGAGAAATCTAGGTAAATCTCTGCATGGCTTTTTGATCTTGTAAAGTCCACCAGTCGACCCTTTTCTCCCCCCCTGAATTTATTGGTTCGGTTCGCCATTTGGGCTAAACAGCGCAAACATTATCCAATACCAGGCAGAAGAGAAAACTTGATGAAATGTATGACCAATTGAGAAATGAGTATGAATCAGTGAAGCGATCGGCAATCCAACCGACTAGCAATTTCTATCCTAGAGCTGAGCCTGATTTGTTTGCAAGCCCAGCTAATATGATGGATAACAGAGATCACCTCAGACAAGGTAATTCTGTTTTTCTTGTAATCCTTAATAGACAATTCAAAACTTAACTCAGTGTCACAGAAAAAATGTCATTTTTTGTGGAAAGTTTTCTTAAATATTTGGGAGTGATTAGTCGTGCTTATCAATGTTAAGTATCTTTTGGCTATTTAATTAACTTTGTGACACTGAGCTGAGTTCGTTACCCATTTTGTTAAGCTCTTCCACAAATACCAGTTGATTTATTTGTTGCAGATCGGTCGATTTTCATTCCTGACACTCCAGGACCAAGAGAAGATATGTGGCCTGCGCCGAGGCAGAAAAATTCCAACTCTGGCCCCTTTGATGTCTCCGGCGAATCACCAGTAAAGCAAGCTCCAGTTCCTGCTGATGCTGGCAACAGAAGGGCTGGTGTTCGTCCCCAGTTCGGAGCTGGAATTAGTAATCCCTCCATGACTTTACGAAATCTCATACTGTCACCAATGAAACGACCCCAGCTATCCCGTAGCCGACAACAAATATTCACGTAAGGCATGCTACACTCCCATCCTATCTATCATATTTTTCATGACATCCTTATATCTCTGCTTTGTACACATATTAGAGACAACATTAGAAGGGAAGAGTATCTAATTGAGTCTTCTTTCTTCGTTTTCAGGTTATAGGCTGGAATATAGAAGACTAGTGCATGCTGGTTCTAGTTTCCACAACCGAAAGCTTTCTCCGTTGATATAATTGGAAAAAGGATAGGTCAAAGAAATTACTTTGACAATCAGAATTCCTTTTACTGGCTTTTAATTTCTCCTTGCGCCTTACGAGGAGATAACGTTAGAAACATCTCCGATCATACCTTCAAAATACAAGCTTCATATACTTTTCATGACGGTTAAGGTAACTTTGCATAGATGTAAAGCTGATCATTTTTGTGTAAACTGTAAAGAGAAACGAGGATCGAGCTTCACATGAGTCGTCAGTCGTGTGTTCAAGTCATTCATGCTACTTGGATGAATTTCTGTGTTTGAAACAGTGAAGAATCTAAGTCTGGCTACAGATGATTCTCACATTCCCAAATCCTCCACAACGAACCTTAAGATGCATTAGGCAATAACATAGTGGTCGTTGGTCAATCGCGCATGCTCTCGTTTTTCTTTTCCTTTTTTTTTTCTTTTGCCTTTTCCATTATCATCAAATCTGTTGAGATGGGTGAAGCTTCATTTTGAGATTTTCATTCATTGTTTCAACTTTCATGTTTGAACTGACATGTACTGGGATTATGGCAATGCACATGCAAAGTAAATTACTTGGCCTACGGTTGTTTGTTTAAGGTGTAAGTACATATTTACAACATTGATTAAGAGGCTTCTAGTTCGCGGAACGATGTAAAAGGGAACTGTTTTGTGAGATTTACATTATTGTTGTTTGGTAGTCATCATAGACTCATAGTGTAAAAGTGTAAATACAAGTTTCTAATTTCCATCAAATTTTGAGAAGAGGGGGTTTTACATCGGTGTTAAATTTTCACCTAATCTCAATGTAAAATTTTCCCACAGTGGAATTTTACGTTAATTTACTATGTAAAACAATACCACATCCAAACACTAACAAAATTGGACCAGAATGTAAAATTTACCTAAATTCTTTATTTATAATTCAAATAAACAAACACGACCTAAAGATTAAAGTACCCTTAAAGTTTCATAACCCACTTAAAATACCCCAAAACTTTTCGTTGTGTTTGGAAATGATGCAAATATATAGTGTAAAACGATTCATATAAATTGTAAAGTTGGGTTAGTTTTGTACTGACAAATTTATCTTCTTATCAAACAGACTTTTAGCTGTAATTGATGTAAACACAAATTCCAATAAAGCATATGGTTTTTTTATCAAAAACCCACTTGAATGCAAATTTAATTCTTTTTTATTAATGTACTTTTATATCTTATTATCAATGTAAATATGCATTGATCTGTCTTTTTTCTTTTATTATCAATAACCAACATTGGTCTGTCATTTGGCAATGCATAAATGTAATGTTACTAAACACAAAAGTGAACCAGAGTGCAAATTAACCCTGAACCAGGATTTACACTCTATTTGCATCATTTCCAAACGCAGCCTTCAGGAATATGACACATACCAATCTTAGTTATCCACCATATTCTAATTGTGACATCACAGGTCACTTTTGATTTTTCAAAAACCCAGTTTCGCCCTCACCACCAGTTTTACTCATTTCATAGGCTTGTACGTGAAATTTCTCAAGAGAAGCAGAAAGAAAAAAAAAAGACGGCACTCTTTCTTCGCCTTACAATAGTTTAGTTTCAACCTCAAATTGGAATTCACCTCTTTGGATCGGCCTGTACAGATCAAATACTGAGGACTAGGTTTGTCCTTTGGTTGGTGTTTAAACTTTGCTTTAACCTTTGAATTTAATCAAGAAATGACGAATATTTGTGGTGAGCCAAGCGTGGATTCAAGAATATTTGTAGAGAAGCGAACAAAGTGGGTCACTCTCTTGGAAAACATGGCATGTCTTGTTCTTGGAATTCACATCGTCTATCCCTTGTACAGAAAATTTGTCTCAGACCAATAGCAATCTGCCACGCCAGTTTATTTTCCCATTTCAAAATTAAAGTGATTGTGGCATTGCTATTGATCTGGGACAGAAAATGGTTATTCCATAAAATCACTTGCCACATCAGCAATAATAATCATTTCTTGCTGTTTGGCTGTTTGATGGGACGTGTCAAGAAAGAATAGTATGCATGATTCAGTTGTGACTTTTTTTTTTGATAAATTTCAGTGTGACATTGTTCTTTTTTATTCCGGCAACAACACCATGATTTCCGGTGACAAGAACAAGGTTCAAAGTATCAAAAAAGGCCCATACAGTAGGGCGTATTGGCCTGTATCAGTACTTTTTTATGTTTTATTTTTTTTTTTAAACCAATTCAGAGGGGTCGATTTAAGCCCCAACTACCCTCTATATCGTGGTCTGACCCGATACAAGCCCTCTAGGAGCATATCAGGAAGCTATCAGCACAATACGTATTGGCCGATACGTATCGATACTTTGAACCATGGACAAGAACAATGCGGCAAACAATGAAAATGGTTATTCCATTATTAGGGTTCGATGATAGAATACGAACAACCTCTTCTCCATTATACAAGACTATATACTAGCCACTAGCCACCAAATTTTTCTTTCTGCTATTTTGAGAAAAATGGACAATGAAGACTATAGAGAACATCAAGAAAGTATGAGTGGGTGGTATTTCTAAAGCATCAGCTAGTGGTGAAGAATATGAGTGGCCACAAGCCGAGCTCTTCACGAGCTACTCAAGCTTGTCTCATAAAAAGCTCAGCTCGAGCCCAATTTACAAACTCGTTTAATAATCGAGCCAAGCTCAAGCCTAATATAGCTCGGCTCGTGAGGCTCGCGAGCCGAGCTCGAATATATATAATATTTTTATTTTTATATATAATAATAACTAATTATTATAATTCTTAATTTTTTTAAATATCAAATAAAAAATAATTTTTATATATAATTTTTTTTATTTTTATAAAACATTTTTTCTCAAATCAAGCTCAAGCTTACAAGTTTTTGACTCAAGCCAAGCTCGAGCTTGATCCTTGTACTACCTTGGCGAGCTAAGCTCGAGCCTCATACTATTCGACTCGACTCAGCTCGAATCCACCCTTAGTGAAGAATAAAAGATGTGCAAAGCTCAAAGGATAAAATTTACGGAGTACTAACAGGCCCATTGCAGATTTCAGAATCCCACTATAAAACTATAAGCATTCAAAATGTCAAACCCCACTCTATACATTAATACCCGCCCATGAATTGGCATCATTTTCGAGCTGGAACCTACCCGAATTGTACTTTGGGCCTAAAAATTCTAACCCTAGGCTGAACAGTCATTCTCCCTAAAATTTATCATCTTTTCTTTAGGCTTCAACCCAAAAGCTAAAAGAGACCTCCCCATCACCACTGCAGCCAATAACCATCTTCATTGTTTGCCGCACTGTCCTTGTCACTGGAAATCATGTCACTGTTGCCATAATAGAAAAGAAAATTAAAATACCAGTTTCGTCAAGTGAAAACGATGATGAACAACCTTGCCGGTGTCAAACAGCAAGATTAGTACGATCGACGGACTTACCAGCGTTTACAACAGTGTGTGAATAAGGAGTCTGTGCAAGTAGATGATGGCGACTGTATTCTCCTCTCATAAGCACTTAGACTGCTTAGGGTTATTGGGTGGACGGTTTTTGTCTTTTGGATAGTCCGGGGTGCATTGGATCAGAACTACAGTTTGCCACATCAGCTGCCACATCGATGCCCGGTAAGCTTCATGTTTAGTGAAACACCCAACTATTGGGGAAGCAATAATTTGAAGCTTCCTCAAACAGCTCTATGCACATAAATCAAGACATTTCAGTTTCTCAGCGTTTTTTTAATAAACAGTTAAACCAAACAGTGATTCAACTGCAAATAAACGGCAACACCTAGCTAGCACAACTCGAGACCGAACTATTAGAATAGAGCACAATTCGATTGCACCCCGAGTTTTTGTTTTCAAAAAAACAAGACCAACTATGTTGTCAAACAGCCCCTAAACTTTTGAGACAGACAATAGATGTCTCAATCTTCTATGCCACAAGGGTAATTAGTTCTCGTTAAGAAACTTCTTTTAATACCAAACGTATATGAAACTAATTTCCCACTATACAATGAACAATCAAGTCCATAGAAATTGTCAATGTAACTACCAAAACCGACTAAATTAGAAAATTTAAATATTTCTGACTTTATATCAATAAATGTTATTCTACTTACAATACACCCTAAAAGTGATAAAAGCATGGTGAGGTAGGTTAAAGCAACCTTTTCTAGGGTGAGAAGGTCGACTAATAGTTTTGGCAGATTTCATTGTCAGGCAAAGGGTATCAAGGGACCATTTGTTTTGGGCCGTATTGTAATATTATGGAGGTACCGAGTTAATATGCCTGGATTGTATACCTATTTTACTCTGTAAAATCAATAAATGTAATTCTAAAACCAAGTACTGCAATTTAGGAACGGAAATTAAATTCCTCAAAAACTAGAAAAATAAATAGTATGGTTTTTAAAAACGAACCGGTGATCAAACCAATCAGGGGTCCGGTTACCGGTTTGAATGGTCCGACTATTCGACCCGAATGGCCGGCCCATTCTGACAAAAAAATTAAAAAATTGGAAAACGGTCAAAACTGTTCAAACGGTTTGAACGGTCAACTGGCCGGTTCAGCGGTTTACTGACCAAAATCAAAGATTTTGAGGGAAAAAGCAGTTTTGGAGGAAAACAGAACCGGTCAGGTGACCGCTTCCCGGTTTTTCCGGTCCGACTGTCTGGTCCAGTCCAGTTTTGAAAACAGTGATAAATAGCATAGTCCAAAATGAATTCAAAACTTATAGTTTTATCATAAAACTCATTTAAAAGATCACACAACCACGCGATTTTCGTTTCCAAGGAACGTATACTGATCACTTTCAGATTTGGCTTCCAGGTCTTTTGGAAACCCTATAAGGTATTAACAGTGTGAGTGGAAGCACCAAAACCTTTTAATTAAGAATCATAATGAAAATAAATTCACACATGAAGAATAGGCCCAACACCAATAGCTTGTTATTTCCAGTATTTTTTTATCCATGCAGCTTTAAATCCAAGTATAGCCACTCCTGAAATGACCCCTCTTGCTGCAAAAGAAGAAAGAGGGCACTACCGTCCCTCTCCTCGTGGTTTTGCAACCCTTGCCCTTTATTGCATGACATTTCCTTTTCTTGCCACCTTTAATTGTAAAGTGGTCATCTCAAGCTGTTCCTGCTTCAGTCTCTCTTCTTTCTATACACATATGGACCTGTTCATAGGCCAGGTAGCCCAATGAGCCGGCCCGCCCAGCCCATTCTTTGTCAGGCTTTGACAATATGTCAAGCCCACAGGCTCAGGCTTGGGCTTTCTCAAAAAAGCCTGGCACAAGCCCAATAATATTTCATATAATAAAAACATATGATATATTTTTTCTTTGTTTTTCTCTTTTCTCAAGCCATAGTGAGATCTTTCAACATTTTTGGGTTCTAAGGTCATTTATTATAAATAAATCAGTTTTTATCGAGTAAAAAACAAAAAAAAAATCTTTGAAGACACAATTGTTTAATAAAACCAAATTCCAGAAGAGACCATCTACTTAATGCCCTATAGACAAGAATCTAGCCACTACTCCCCAATTCCTCATCACATCAACTATAGAGTGAAAATGCCTCCATAGATTTTACCAAATGTGCAACCCTCACCATTATATTATCAATGATCGCTTCCTTACTCTTCCTATCCTTGAAAAGAGGCAAGAAAGTGGTGGAGTAGAGGGAGAAAGAATTGAAAGGAGGGAGGAAGTAGTATTCAATCAAATCCTGCATCAGTCAAGCCACCGGGAACAAGATCAATACCCACAAAGGTAGCGGGAAAAAACAAAGGAACAGGAAGAAAAACAGGGGGAGAGGGGGTAGAAACTTAGTGGTCAACACTTTCACAAGCCTGCTCCTTGGAAACCCCCTGATCAGACTCCAAAAAAAAAGAACCATTATTGCACTTAAGCTCGATTCATGATTCAACCCATCTCCCCAAGAACAAATATCCTGCCTTTGCTCTTGATTTGGTCGTCCACTCAACCCATCCTTGTTTTTTATTATGAATTGCCCAACCTTGTCCACGGGAGTACTAAGGTTTGTCACTAGTTAAAGCTGTAATCTGAAGAGCTATACTCGAAGTAGCAACGAAGAAAAGAGAACCACAGAACTGAAGAGAATGTCGAACTATACTAACCAGTCGACCAGTCCTTTATTTATAGATGAATATAGTAGAAAGTACAAGAAATTACTGGGATGCCCCTGATTAGTGATGGGACACCCAGATGACTTAAATCATTAAACGGGATTAGGCCCATTAACACAAGCCCAGTTACAAGATAAGTTAAATATAAGAATGGGCTAATAAGAACTCTTATCAGCCGAACATCACTCTAACATTCTAACAAAAGCGTCTTATTCTTATGATACATAACTTGTAAACCCGCAAACAAATCCTTTTTGAATAGCAATTCCATTCCCAAATGTTCATCACCCCATCTTTTGTCAACTTTGGAATTGTCGACACTTCCTAAGCTAGAAGGGGTTTCATCACTTTCAAAATGTGAGAAGTTCCAATCACTATAATCTTCATCCTCTTCCTCTTTCTTTCTATTGTACATTGGGTTAGGTTTCTTTGGGGTTGTAGTCAGCACCTCTTGCCTTGGTCTCCATTCCAGGTGAAAAGATTTTTGAGATGAGATTAAAGAATTTGACGATTCTTGCTTTTTTTTCTCCAACCTTTCTATGTTTCCCATCGGATCAAGTTCCCCTGTCACAAGGATAGAAGACAAAGGTAGACCAATGCTATGGTTTACCACCCTATTGGTCGAACTAGTGACCAAGTTAAAACGTTGGCCTAGTTCGCTCTAAGTTCTCCAATCCAGGCCACTAGACATGTGAAATTGTGAACAATAAGGTGTCACATGGTTGGGCAACCAAGCCACCAGTCCAAGCCCCCAGGCCATTTGTCCCTTCTGACACAGCTTTTGCATACAATTCCCAACCACTGAATTCTCCTCCACCTAGCTCGGATTTTCTTTATGAGCTTGGAATTGTTGCTCACCCCTATTAATTTAAAACATTTCTTTTTTCTTTTCATAAAACCCTACCTTCCTTTTTCTCCAAGACTTTTCAACTACTTATACTTTTTTCTTCTTGCTACTATGTCATTTCTACCCTGCACCTCTTCCCCTCTACATGGTATCCACCCGGCATAGTTGTCAAGGCAACGCCTAGGCGACAAGGCGCCCTTGGAGGCTCGCCTCACCCAATCACCAAGCAATTTTGTATACTGTCATAAAATACTTTTATATTGCTCCTTTTTTGAGATTATAATTACAAAATAGACATTATGAAACAAAAACATTCATTTGTTGTGTTTATAAACTAATTTCTTTTTATTACTTTCTAATTTGTCAGGGTTTAATCAACACAAACGTCGCTAACTGCTGTATTGAACCCTCAAAGACTTCAGAATCTAAACCAATAAGGAAAAACGTAAAATTTTGTCTAATCAACATATTTTTTTAATAGGGATTCAGCCCCCATATTTTTTTTAATTTTCTTTTCTTTATTCTTTTTCTTCTCATAAATATGTTGATTTTCTAGACTTAAACATGAAGAAAATTATGGATAGTTATTAAGGAAAGATGGTTATGGAAGCTAGGGAACTACGCTAGGATATGTATTTTTACTTAAAAAAATCCATCGCCTAGGCGACACCTAGGCGACAAGGTGCCCCCCTGTCGCCTAGCCACCTAGCCTCGCCTTGGCGCCTTGAAAACTATGCCACCACGCCAGGCTAACATCGTCTTCTACCTTCTTCCCACTAGTGTTTTAAAAGCGTAAGGCACAAAAAAAAGCGCAAGGGCCAATTTGCGTTTGAGGTGCAAGGCGAGGCGCGCGCCTTTTTAAGCAAAGCGCAAAATTACAAAAAAAAAAGTCAGAAAATTCAAAAAAATGCCAAAAAGTTTAAAAAATATCAAAAAATATTAAACATAATGTTAATAAAAAATATAAACTTAAAATTTAAAATAAATGTTTTAAAAAACCTATTATCTAAAATTTAAATACATAAACATAACATGTAAAGTGTATTTAAATGAAATTTTAAAAATAAAAGCGAACATATAAAGCATTTTCAAGCATGTAAAACCCACAATCTCGTTTTCTCCTTAATTGCATTGCTTCAAGTAGCTAATGTGATGTAAAATATTGCATTCTTGATTCTATGAGTCGCCTCTATACCACGCCCCTCGAGGCAAGCCCGAAAAAACCTATGTTAGGGTCTGAAATTCTTATTTCTCACATAAAAAATAATGATTTTATAACTCTCATTGCCTTTTAAGAAGATGCAATGAATGAATGAACAACATTAGAAAATAGGGGCACCAGGTGTGCGCTTGGGCTGAGACGCACGCCTAGGACCTGGGCGAGGTGCATATCCCAAAATGTGCCTCCCCTGTGCGCCTAGGCACGCCTTTTAAATCACTGCTTCCCACAACTCCAAAGTAGTGCCTTAGATTCCATTTCCACCTAGATTTTGTGCCAAACACCATCAACCAATAAATCAATTGATTGAGGGATGGCTTCTGGCTTTGCACCTACAACTTTAATTCTTGCAACATGAAGGTCAACCATATTCATGGCTTCCAAGACTCC